AAAACTTTTCTATTTTCATCTTCTGTGAGAGACAGAGGCATTTTATTCCAAGGGTAGCAAATGCTAACAGCAATCATCCGCTGACATGCTGCTGAAGATTTCTTTCGAGAATTGCTTAAAAGCAAGCTTATGGCATTTCAGCTTACAACAAATAAGTGTCAGATAAACCAAAATTTATCCTTCGAAACTGATACATCTTTGGATTAAGAAAGTATCGAATCCAGTCTTCCCACTGCCTTGATTCTCTGACAGAATTTAGGTTTCACCACTAATCCATGTCGAATCATGTTTTGCTCCGAAACATTTTTATGGCGACACTTGCTCTAATTGCCTTGGGGCTATTTTGGCAATAAATTCAAGCACAATATCCACGATTCGAATTCCAACAAAAAAAAGCCCTTTCTACCAATCATTAATTGTCTTGATAACGGTTCCAACAAAAATACCTACCATGCTAGAACTTTGAAATACCTTCTAATTCAATTTTATAATAGTTTTAGCAAAAGGGAACCATCGACAGCTCTGCCACAATAAAACGTTAATTAAAGGCTACAAAAAAGTGTTTTAATGGTGCTTTTTGTTTTTGTCTGTTCCCACTAATTAAATGCGAAAGAAATCCAAAACATTAAAATTAAAGATAATGAACCTACCTATCATAGGCACTGATGAACATCCCGAGGATTAGCCTGTGTTTCATCCCTCAGCTGTAAGTACAGACAGCGTGCGCTGCAGGAGTGGGAATAAGCAGTGCAGCGCCCTACCCACCACGTACATGAATCCTAGCTCTACAATTTTGAAAGGTTAACAGTAAACAATGACTCTGACATATTCAGCGATATCTTTTTCCCGTTTTTATAAAGCAAGAAACCAATAACCTGCTCAGTATTGCTGAGTATTGTGCCATCCAAGGGCAATGGATTTCCATCCAGTGATGTGATCAAATGCAGTAGATTTAGCGCAGCTTTAAGGGGTATGCCAGCTGTTTCTAATGCAATAGATATTTGATCCAAACGATCCATACAAGATTGCATCTGGAAATTTTCTTAAATGTGAGATACAGCCTTTTTCAATAAAAATTCCACAAAGCAACGGTCTGGTAATTTTGAACAATGAGCGCAAAAACGCAACACTGAGATTGCCCAGTTCGAAAAGCTGCCAGCTATAGAAATTGGGACCTAAACTACCATTAACAAATGTTGTGGAATTTGACGAGCACGGCGCATTAGAAGTACCACTGCTGTTGTGCAGCCGATCGAAGATTTGAATCTGTTAATGAGGCAGTTAGTAGCTTCACTTGTTTCGCTTGTAAATTGGTATTGATGTGTTTCAGAGAGTTAAAGTTACCACCAGCATACTTGTTAGGCAACCCTTGAAAAAGAAAGCCATCGACAGTCTTACCAGCGATTGTTTGCTGCTGGCATATTTTACCACTCGAACTGTCTTGCCAATGTTTCTAACACCCATAATAGCGGATTCGGAAGGGGTTTTGACTCTTGATATTTTGATACCGATTTTAAACCTGCTGATGAGTATATTCCATTAAAGCATTCATATGATCCACCGGTGTTGGTCGTTCAGCTTTCAATTTTGTTATCGTA